GAAATGGAGTATACTGTTGTGTGACCCCTATTTATATTTACATATATATCCTCATAGTTTCATTCACATTCTTCACCTTCAACAATTTTTATCAAGCTGTAAAACTTAGAGACCTTGAGAGTTTAAAGTGACGAGATTGATTATAACGTTTAATGAACTCTAAGATTCAAGATCAAATTTGAAATTTTGCATCTCTCATGTGTATGATAAAAAGTACAAATAAATATCATATTTGTACTCAAAGGGCATTTAGGTTAAAAGCAGTAGTAGATATTACGTAAAAAGTGGCTACTTCAAGCACACAATTTAAAAACTAAAAATTAAACACTTTCCACTTCTCCCGACCTGCAGAATGTGGAACTTGTAACTTCTAGTGGGGAAGAGTAAAACAAAGTTTCTTCCCTTTCATATTTAAAGGAAAAGTTGAAAACATCTCAGTGCAACAAAACAGTGCAATAGTGTAATATGAACGGGTACGTTTTTAACTTTCTCTCAAACACGACCAAGAGTACTGGGTAGGTATTTCTGAGATAAACTTTAGACTCTTAGCAAAAGGGAAGTTATGGATTAGAATTGGGGTTTGGAAATAATTTAATTTAAACTGAACAAATTGAAAATTGGCCTTTTTAGGCAAGGGATATATTAAATAAGAGTTATGATAATTTCCCATTGATATTTATAGAACGAATTTAGCACTGAAGTCCAGCACTTTTAAGTAAGCAACATAATTGTTCCTATTTTCATCGTAGATGTTGTAACACTTTTTGACGTCAATCCACATTTAGCAAAATTAGTAAAACCAATTAAGCAGTTAGATATATTTTCATGTCCATAAAAAGTTCGTTGAAATCATTTTCCTTTAGAATGTCGATGGACCTACATTTTTGCCTCTAAAATGGTACCGAACGCTTAAACTGTTAAGATAATAAGTCAGTTTCTCAAAGAGTACCTTAGTTCCAAAGTACTAATGATGAATTACCCAACTTTCAATTCCCACGTGAGGAAAAAGAAATCGGATTATGTTAAAAGCACTTTCACAGACACCTGACTGAGCGCGGTAAATCTTTCCGAAATCCCTTCTCTTGATTCCAGTCGGCGAGGGGCGAACAAAGCTCTGCCGCTTGCGCAGATACGAATAAGCTCGGCCCCTCGCCCGACTCTCACCCCGACATTGTTTTAATTTCAGCTTTATTAAAATCTACGAGAGCTGCTCGATAAGCCCTCGATCCGAATAACAAAAAACAAACACGCGGGCGCGGCAGGCGTCGGTGGTGGTGAAGATAATAAAAAATGAGCGTGACACATTTTATATTTTATCAAAGACATGGCTGCGCAAGGATCAGCAAACATTACAACCGGATAGAACACAACTCGCAGGCGCCCCATTTTATGGAGGCCGCCGAAAGGCGCTGATTGGAAGCCGCGCTGCAGTGTCTGGTGAATTCACTAGTAGAGAATTCGACAATATGTGGCCTGTCGCTACGGTTGCGGAGGAAATATCCGAGGTTATAAGTTCGGTTTTTCCTTGTAGTGGCTCGGTAATCACGCCGTTGCCTGCTATTAATTATTTATCGTTCAATCTTTCGAAAAATCGTTTTTTATCATAGGCAATAAATGTGACAGGTCTTGGGAACACACTGCATACGAATTAATGCACACTAGTGTAGTACAGAAAAAATGTATTTTTATACTAAGAAAAAATTGATAATAACTTTTTTATGTTACTGTCTTAATTTTATAAATATAACATATAAACTATATATTATCATTCTTACTGTTATCATGATTCTTAAAAGTTAAAGATCATATTTTCAATAGTATGTAGATGTTCAAAACTCAAATGAATTAATAGGCATTAAATTTATGTTTGACACTAACACTCTCACCTTCAAAGCATAATGTAAATGAATTTCATTTAAAAGTCTTGCATGAATTATAAGATCAAAATCTAAGTATTGAATGTGCACGTGAACATTTATTTAAACCGCACTGATAAGAGAAAAAAATAACCTTAAGCTAAGAAACGTAATACCTCTTCATTTAGCAAAAGGTTGTGAATAAAATGAAGCTTAAACTTAGAAAAAGCGAACACAGTAATGCTACAAAATTCGGTGGAAAATCTCTTTAAAGATATTTATTTAGGAGTAGTTTCGTGATATTTAGTTTTCGTAAAGAGTTCTAATTTTGACAAACATCCCTAGAAAATATCTGTTACTCTACATAGAGCGCGAGAAGCAATATTCATTAAATAAATTTACAAAGAGCACCGAAAATACTGTTTTGCAAAAAAGCTGTGAACGTAACTTCGTCATGGTGCTCATCAGAACGCATGGACTACACGGCCAGTTACACCCGACGGCCGGAGACCTGCGCTGTAACGAATCAGCGAGGCGACGCTCGTAACGGCAGATAATCGTCGGCCCCGCAGCCGCCGCGACCTCCCCTTCTGCCTCGCACAGCACCAAATGTGGATTAATTACCCGAGCAGAAAATTCGGCAGGAAGCGTGGGTGATGGCGCTTCCGTTTATCTACTACAAAAACGACAGGTGATTAAAGTGGGTCTGCCGAAATATTGCTCCCCGGCTGTGGAGGGAGGGGTTGAAACAACTTTAATTTTATCTGAAAGCGGACGTGGAAGGGCAGACATTTTTCCACATTTCAAATGGAGAAGAGACATTCGGTTTGGTGAATATTTACTCAAGCCACCACTGCATGTCGAGAACTTTCACGTTTTCTGAGTATTGACCGAGTGGTATGGCTGTCTATTATTATTTGTAAGTTAATGACAGATGTTTAACACTTAAGACGACATTTTAGGATGTATATTTTGCGCTAATAATGTACTTTTCATTAATGAAATACAAATATCTCTTGAAATTATGAGACCATGTTTAAGTCATTTTATACTACTCAATAAAAAATTCTGATCAAAGAACAAAATTAAATGAAAGAATATAATTCCTTCATAATACGAAAAAAAGAAATATATTAATTAAACAGTTTTACTTAATAAAAGTAATCAAGTGAATGATTTCCAATGTTCAAATATCGTGCAACAAATATCAAAGCACAGAATCATTAATGAAAATCACAATAATCTATAATTTTATATGATTGTACTAAAATAATTTCAACCCATTGACTTTGCCGCTACCGCTTACGCAATAAAGAGGAAGCTGAATAATGCTGCGCGAAAATACTCTTATTACAGAACTGTGACATCAAAAAAGTCGATAAATAGAGTTGCTAATTTTAAAACAAAAATTCTCTAGCACGTTGTGCCTGAATCCATGTATAGTGGAACCTTGATACCGAAAAATCGAATGACTGCAAAATGTTTGTCCATATGTCAATCCGTCTGTCCGTTCGTCCGCACGTCCACCTGTTTGTCTGTCCGTCCGTCTTTCCATCCGTCCGTCATTCCTTGTGTCCGTCTGTTTGTCTATTCATCTGTCTGTGTGTCCACATGCCATTCCATCTCTCTGTCCATCGGTCTGTCCGTCGGTCTGCCCGACTGCCTGCCCGTTTGTCTGTCTGTCTGTCTGTCTATTTGTCTATCTGTCTGTCCATCTGCCTTTCCATCTGCCTGTCCATCTGTCGGTCTGTTCATCTTCCTGTTCGTCTGTCTATCGGCCTGTCCATCCCTCTGTCTGGCCGTCCATCTGGTCGTCTGCCTGGTCCGTTTGTTCGTCTGGCCATCCATCTGTGAACAACGCTAAGGTCTAAACCGTTTGGCCGATTTTCTCCGAAATTGATATTCCTTAATCGATCAGATTGCCGTCGCACTCCCTTAAATTTGAAACTGATATTTTAATTTTGGGAGATACTTTATATGAAGCCCGTGAAACATTTTTAAAATTTTGAACAAAAAAATGGCTTTATCGTTTTTTATTAAATTTTGTTTTGGATAGTGTGAATGATGTCCGTGCAGGTCTCATTTACGTTGTAAACCCTGATTTTTCGAACCTATAAAAATTCATAATTTGTTCGGCGTCTTCGTACAACTATAATTATGGATACAGATATTTCCCTCAATGAAATCTGTTTCTGAATGATAGCTTTTGAAACAAGGTCATGTATATTTCTTCGAAACGTTGAGCAGTTTTTGCGTAATTTTGTGTGAAAGTACCGGCGAGAAAGTACGCGTAGTTTTGTCATTACTCTTTTAAATTTTACATTGAAGATAATATCAATATTTGGTCAATGCTGTAAAAGAGTATACATATAATTGTATTATAGTTACCACTATTTATGTTTGTAATTTATTCATCAGAATGAAACCTAGTGCTCAAATAGCTCAACTATTGGCTATAGACTATCGCGTCTTATATAAGCTAAGTACTACCGCGCCGCAACGAAAACGCTGGACGACACAGACCCTTCAACAGTCTTGCGAAACTCCGACCCGCTCCTCACCCAAAAGATTCCGCACCCGGTGACTGACAGTTGTGGGCGAGCCATCACCGATAATAATAATAAGCAGGAGAAAGCTGGAGCTTCGTATCGGGCGGCGGCGGCGCGGCGCGCGCGAGCCACGGCGCCCGAGAGGACCTGAAGGGGAGGGGGAGGGGGAGGTTACCTGGAGCCGCCAGGGTCAGCACGAGCAGCAGCGGCAGCCTCCGCTTCCAGCGACACATGGCGGCGCAGAGTGCAGCGACTGCAACGGGCGGGGGCGGGCCGCGCACTTTATATAGCGGCCCCGCCACGCGCCCCGGCGCCGGCCCCGGCCGGGTGGCGGACGTGACCTGGGCAGCGACGACGGCCGCGGCGCGATAGCTCCGCGCGTCGCCCAATTGTGCGAGTGCGGTCGCCGGCCACGCCGCCGCTTTCCTTCGCTATCTGCGCGGCCCACCGCCGCGCCGCGATAGAGAGGAAAGCGCCCCCGCGCGCGGTATAAAGTGGCCGGCGCCGCCTCGATCGTCACACAGCGGCGCCTCCTTCGCCGACGACAGCCGACGGACGCCCTCGCAGCTCTTCGCTTCGCCGCCGCCCCCGCACCATGGCGCGGGTCCTGCTAGTCGCCGCGGCGCTCGCCGTCGCCGTCCAGGTATATCCCGACCGGGGCTTAGAATGCAAGACTCTTTGCAGGCGGCAGGGGAGGGAAGTAGTTCAATATGTCATTTGTTCTCTCGTTTCCAAGCAAAGTTAACAGTTGTAGTTTGCAATTACCTATTACTGGATGGGTAATGGAAAGGATGAACCATGAAGAGGGGTAAATGCTCATGGGTGGAATAATGGTTCATGTGTGAAATGTGTTGATCTCATAAGCAGTAGCTGTTTAGGTCCATACGATTCTATGCCATGAGTACAATTTCTTACTCCCGTTTCCTGAGGACGTTAACAGATGTAGTTTGCCATTATCTTCCACTGGAAGAATAATGGAAGGGATGGCTGAAGGGAGAACGATCATGAGGGACGAACGATAATGGGTAAGATAATGGTTCGGGTAAAAAATGTCGTGATCTCATAAGCCAGTCACAAGACGAAAACTCGCAGATCTTATGCGATATTTAAACACGCAGCCTCCACCTCCGCCGTTCAGGCCCTACGCCCCTACACAGTTCCAGGTGCATACAAGTGAAGGAAACTATGTGCATAATTTCTCAACTATACTTCAACAACTCACGAGCATCGATTTTGTTTGGAAACACGTTTCACCTATTTATTTGAGTATATTATTTGGTGCCACGAGGAAAAAAGTTGACTTTTGTTTTTAATTTTTTGACCTACTTCGTAAAAAAAGAAAGCACTGTAAACGTGCGGCACAAAACAGCTAATTTTCGTCGGACCCTGGAAATGAAAAAGTGAGTAAATGTTGTTCTTACGAGTAGCAAATGACTTTCTTTAATAACGTCTTGAAATAATGTTATGTACAAATTTTTACAAAAAGACGAGTGATTTTCATGAATTCTTACTTCAAATATAGGCTTTTTTTAAACAATTATTATTTTCTCAAAAGTAGCTCCAAATATGTACATTAAATTTTTCGTAGTTATGGAAGGATGGAACAAAAGTGATACTGGTCCCATTTTGGCAAACTGACTGAATTTTCGAAAATTAACATTCCAGTTGAAAATGGAGTTTTTTTCATTTAAATAAATCTATTCTAAAAAGAGATTCTTATAACAGGTCATGTATGATTTTAGTTTAGTTTGCACGTAATTTATGCTTGAACTTATTGCAACAATATTTTTTCCTTGAATACCGCGTGAAATCAATTGTTTTCATGAATAGATCAAGGAACACTTAGAAAAATTGTTATTGAACCTCCTGAATTTTCGAAAATTGCAAGTTATATACTCTAGAAACCCCGGGTAGGACGACTAGCTTAATTGTTTAACATTATAAATTGTTAGTAATTTTACAACGTTTGTAATAATACAGACATCTCATAGTTGTAGTTCCGTTTAACGGATTTATTGAAGCGGCTTGGGAATATCCGAACGCGAGTGTTGTGCGCCCCATGGCCTTCTCGGGGCTGTGAACGTACCATGTTTGACAACAGATGATACTAGCAACTGTGTATAATGATGTGATTAATCCCTACAGGGCAATTCTCATGTATAACGTTGTGCGTGAATATACATATTAATGTACAATTTTATTTTTTTCTTGAAGAGTAACACTACTTGTTTAGAAAACTTTAGGTACCTAATTTTTCCTTGTCGCACTTATTAAAGTAAGAAGATAAAGTATTTTAATCGTGCGTCGGAAAACGGCTAATTTTCCACACAAAAACTCTTACTGCCGGGCTGTAATAGGGAAAAAAGTGGATTAATACAGTTGATAAATAGAAAAAAATTCCTCTAACACATGATGTAGCCAGAATCCATGTTTTGTTGGTCCCAGGTCGATTGATAACAATTCGTGCCTGTGTGTCCGTCCGTCTGTGCGCAACGTTAGCGGATAAACCGTTAGTGGATGGACGTTGTTGTTTAAGAATGAAAGAATTTATGACGTAATTATGAAAATTACGTAAAATGCAAAGTTTAATGACTCAAAAAATAAGCAAAGCAAAAAGTGAGTTACTACCTGAGCTCCGTTTCTCCAATACAAAACTTATACTAAAATCTAACACACAGAAAAATCTTAAAGCTAAAGTTACAGAAAATTAATTGTCCACTTGAATTTTATTGTAGCCACTGCGCAGCTGAGAATCGTAGCCTGAATTCCACAAAATCTATTTTAGCAAGGGTCCATTTTTCAATATTGCATGAAGGGCCGAACTGAAGCCATTACCAGGGTCTTCTATGGCATTACCAGTGTTGTTCTTGTGGAGGTCATTCGCCCCTTCCAGCTGTTTCGCCCTTTCACTTAAGATGGTCTGAAAAGACGCTCATCGGCCTCGACGTCTCTGGGTCTGCGGCGGAAGTTCTAGCAGCAGATAGCGGGAGGCCGTCGGGCTGACGCGCGACCCACACTACAGTTCACCGCTGTCACGTTCACAAATATCTTCCTCAGCTCTTTCTTTCAGATACGATGCACAAGTTACTGATTAGTAGATCGACGGATGGGCGAGTTCGAGAGGGTGTGTCAGTTTTTTTCCCGGCAAGCGAGCACTTCTCAATCATAAACAAGAGATAGAGTCCCAAAGCGCTCCGTGCTTCCCTGGCTGCAGTCGTGAACAAAGAAATTGTTCAGCGGAGGGTGTGGCTAATCGGGGCCTATTGTTGCAGCACATGACCAGACCTTCGCGTCTGTCGGTTCTTCGTCGCATTTTGTAAGAACTAAGTTGGAAGTTTAATAATTATTTCATCATCAAAATTTGGTGACGCCACAAGACGTAGTAGTACACAGAAGAACATAAAACAGTGAAATATGGCCCTTGTAGCTAGAAATACGGTAGACTGCAATTTAAATAAGTGGGCAAATAACTTCACAGCAAGAATCATTAGCCACCCAGGCATTCAATCTAAACGCCACGTCGACTCCACCCCATCTTCTCCCTTACTCGCATAGATGTCTTCTCCCACTTTCAGCTTTCTCGCGGGCAGTCGGCTAGCTCTTAAGTGCAGAATGCCCGCAGGAGCAGGTGTTGTTCAGGTCTGCTTTAATGAGTGTTTATAGGCATCGGAAAGATGTTGACGCATACTCCTCTAAAAATCGAAAAATATCAAAAAGTACTTTTAACACAAAATATGAAACACCACTGCAGTTTAGAACATTATCATACATAAAAAATAAGGAAATTCGTTGTTTTTTACATTATTTTATTGTTTTGTTAATTGTCCTAAGCTTAATACTAATTATATTTCCTTGCGATAACAAAAACTGACGTTCATTTTCAACCAGACAATAAAAATATAACCTTTTATAATATAGAGAAATTATGTTAGATTGCTTTTTGAAAATCTTTAAAGACATTCGTTTATTTACATGTGAAGATACAGTGGTTTTGAGAACTATATAACATATACAACTTAATTTAAAAAATTAACATATAACTTAATAAAAAAATTATAACAGTGTAATACAAAGTTTGAAACTAACTAATATACTCGTGTGTCTCTGTTTTAATAGAGCGTTCCACTGGAGTCAATTGTAAAGCAGCAATTTAACTCTGGCAGAGAGAAACGTCAACTGCCTGATTTCGGCAGTTATATACCCGCTACTCCAGGTATTCCTGGAGGAGGGAATTTTGCCGGGATGACTCCACCTAACTGTGGAGGATTTACAGCTCCGACTATGCCAGGAGGTATACCAGGAGCAGCAACGTCTACACGCGCGGCCTATGCCACTGAAAAACCTGCAGAAGGTGGAAGTAGAAAGAAACGTCAAATGCCCTGATTTTTGGCAGTTATATACCCGCTACTCCAGGTATTCCTGGAGGAGGGAATTTTGCAGGAATGGACTCCACCTAACTGTGGAGGATTTACAGCTCCGACTATGCCAGGAGGTATACCAGGAGCAGCAACTTCTACACCCGAGTATGCCACTGAAAAACCTGCAGAAGGTGGAAGTAGAAAGAAAACGTCACGCTGCCTGATTTTGGCAGTTATATACCCGCTACTCCAGGTATTCCTGGAGGAGGGAATTTTGCCGGAATGACTCCCACGCTATAACTGTGGAGGATTTACAGCTCCGACTATGCCAGGAGGTATACCAGGAGCAGCAACTTCTACACACCGAGTATGCACTGAAAACCTGCGAAGGTGGAAGCAGGAAGAAACGGGAAATACATGAAGGATCGGCACCAGGTGGCAATTTCATCCGCCATCCAAGGGGTAGACTTCCTGGATGACTCTGTGTTGTGGTGGAAGCTGTGGATGGCGTGGATGAACCTGCGCCCGTTCAATGCTGCTGGAATCGTTTCAGGTGGCATGTAATGCCGACATCTCATGCTACGATGAATTCTATTATTCTATTTTATATTGATATTTATGTTACTGTTCTCAGTACTACACAACAAAATGCAACTGTTCACTCATATTTTACTAAGCGCTATCACGCAAACGCAGCGTTGTAATGCAGTTCGTATTGTTGAATAAATGTTTGTGTCGCTAAAATTCTTTCTCTTTCAAAAATATTGATAATATAATAGTGTTATCCTTTCCTGACATTTTCTGACATTCCTTAACTCACCCACATATACATTTATAACATTTGTGGTTGTAATAGAGTTTTTATATTTAAGCAAGCGACCAAAAATATTCAGATTTCACATAACTAATATCGTATTATTATTTCACCTCATTTTTTAATAATTTACGATAATAACTCACAATTTACGATTGAAAACTTATTGAGTTCCGTGATCAAAAACCAGTGGTGTTAAAATAGCACTAATATCTTGCCTTATGTAATGGCTATGAAATACTACTTATTTATAACAATTTCTCTCCGAATTAATACATTTCGGTCATCTTCTTTTGGAAAACTCAGTACAAATTTTTACATTTGGTGCGTAAACTAAATATTTTCAAGCAAATAACACACACATTTGACAATTATAAATGCTTTTCTTGCAGCTAAACATCTCCCAAACAATGAGACATAATTAAGAAAGTCAGCAGGCGAGTCGCAACGCGGAATGGCCATTGTTGGCCTTCCAATCTGATATTTCCTGAAGGCAAGCAATATTTTGTCATTAAAATAAGTTTTAAATAATTTCTAAAAGATTTAATTTGTAAATGTATAACAAAAGCTCGAAAGTAAGAAACAAACTAAACAATATGAAATAATATACAAATTTTAACATTCATAGCATCCAACTGCCTGGAATGACCTGTCATTCACAAAACAACAGGATATTTGGAGTGGGCGACTAAGTTTGACGTCAATTACTAAAAAAAATACTCATTTTCGAAAAGTTACACAATGAAGTTATTTGATTATTTGTTTTTGGTGGAAACAAAAAAATAAGGGTAAAACGTTTTATATTCACAATTATTGTAGTTGCTAGGAAGACGCCGATTTTTCTTAAAAATCAAGCATTTTACGAATATGACACTTGCACAATTCTCTTAAGCCTCCTTTACGCTAAGGTCCAAAGGCTGTAGGCAGGATAAATAAGGAGGTAAAAGTGCCCCCATGCTCAATTCAATTTTAAATACAGGGCATCTTTAGTGTTATTTTGAAAGTTATTTTCCCTAAAACGACAGCCAGATTATTGTGAAAGTTATCAGAACATACGAATTTTTTGGTTTTGATTCTTTTCATATTATTTACTCGGAGATAAAATATGATGTAAAGAATGAAACAGTTGGACAATCTGGTTGTAATTTTGAAGAGTTTTTTTGCAAAAACAATTGCCGGGAATTTATTTTTTCAATTGATTGAAATTATATTCAGAATTTCTGTTTTATTGCTAAGGTGATGCCTATAAAAATCCTACAAAGTCGTATCTGTAGTGTTCTTCATTCCAGTGATATTAATTTTTCTATCAGGGTGTCCTATTGAAAAAATCATAGAAACTCTACTCTGCGTCATTTATAACGTATATAATTAGTTTGATGTTAAACTTTTTTCAGAATACTGTTACAAAATTACTTTTCAGGTCAAAAATCCAATCATTTTTACATATAAAAATTTGAAGATTCATTGTCAATATGCAATTTTATAAATTCACAGAGACGTGACGTATTGCATTTTGACTTGAAATATGAATGATTTGCTTTAAAAGCGCTAATAAATATTCATGTTAAATGCGAACCTCAATACATGGTCAAATTTATCGTTAAATAACCCCTAAACGAAGAGATTTAGAGCATTAACAACTAAAATTTTAAGAATAAAGGTTACAAAGAGACGTTCTTCACATCATACTCTATAGGATGAGATGTTTGTGGGCATTCCATAGCATGAACTTTTGCCGGTTCGTTGCTTATCGATAGTACCAATACCACCTAAATTTCAGGAATACAGAATATATTCCTCCATGATATATTTCAACCCAAGGTGGTAGTGGTGGCCATCTGTGGCGTCACGTTTCGAAGGCTCAGATTTCTCTATCTTGTTCGATTTACACTTTCTGTGTACTGCGGTTGCGTTGACTGAGGAGGTTTATTTGCATAGTTATTAATTCAGTGATATGCAGCAGTGGACTGTAAACTGGCAGGCGTAACCTTTTTGCACATCATTCCTCGTCATCCTTCCATAACTTTATATTATTACCCGAAGGAAGGACCACCAGAATTAGAAGCTTGTGGAACTTGTATATAGTTGAAAGCTATTTAATTGGGAGTTTGTCACCATCACTCATAAATAAGTAAAGGCATTAATTCAACCCCTATATTATTACACAGTAGCTAAATGGTAAACCGCGTACGCTATATGAAATCATTCTTCATTAAATTAAAGAAGTACAAATGATGTGATTGATTGTAAGCACACTATACCGTGATTAATCATTATGAGAGTGAGATTCACAGTTTATGATAGGTATTAACAAAATAAAAAGAATTGGAAGGAGTTCACAGTAGAACTGACACGTAGTGCTGTAAAAAGTAAATGTCACAGAAAGTTCCGTGCAAGACTGGAAGCGTCGCCGAGTTGCCGTGCGAGAGTGCGTGAGTTCGAGAGTTGCCGTACGTGTCGATGCGATGAATAACTGGCTTCCAGGTCAGTCCAGGTATGGAGCGTGGATCTGCGCCCACGTGCCGAGACTGGGGCGTTGGCAGGCATGCCAACAGCAAAGTACATTGAAACTTTCGAGATACATGAGGTTCTCGCTAGAATGATTGCCCACACAGTCACTGCTCAAGCATTAAGATCAGCACAGTACTCTTGTGCAATGTTCACGAATAAAATAAATTGGTGCGACAATGAATTAACAGTTCTGTACAATGAATTAACAGTACATTCGCGCATGTGCGATGTAATTGGTTCATGCCCGGGCATTTGTAATTATAATGATTAGTTCTTTGTACAACACATTGAAATTCTGGAGTAGCAAATTAACAGTCTTACACACGTGAGTATTGAATACGTAGCGCTGTGAAGAATGCACAAAATGGCCGCGAAGTGGCAAGGCCCAGGTGTGTGAAATGCCATTATGCTGTAGCTTGATTATTAAAGTAAGATTAATCAGCACATCGTACAATACACTACCTTCGAAGAACCATTGTACTTATAATAGGAGTAGACGCGCTAATTCCTGCAATTAGTTATGTTTAAAGACAAATGTTGCTATCATTTGGGTGAATCAGTAGTCATAACTTGAAACAGGGCATATAATTAAAGTTAAATAAACATTACATAACGTTACATTGATATCAATATATTTTCTCATGAAACTCTTTTAATTGGATTGTATGAACACTGCACGGGTTGGTAAAATTAAAACAGTTGAAGGGAAGTTATTTAAGAGGACATTTTATGGGAGAAAACACATAATTTGGAACATACCTTCACTTGTACTGAAATAAAGACACATGGCATTGAACATACACTACACAGTTCATCATGCTGAGTGCTGTGACGTCACGCACTCGCCGGAGGCCACAAGCAGTGAGTCAGCGCGTGCGCGTCGCGACATGCATGCCGCAGCACGCCAGGAGCGGGAACGGCCGAATAATTACGGTTGCCAATGTGAAACACGTTTCAGCGGTATAGAACTTGACGTGACATATTGCCATGAGGCCGTGATTAGCAGTTCATGCTCATAGACTCAGTGTCCTGGACACAATGATTGTTGAAGTAGTTGCGTAATGCAATATAATAGTTAACACACACAACCTGTGCAATGGAATTACACACGTTCAAGGATTGCGTGGCGCGTAAATCACTGATCACTAATGAACGAAAGTCACTATGCCGAGGCAGACTACCGTCTGGTGCAAGCACGTGAATGAGTTGCAGATAATCACCATGTGTGATGTAACATTATTCACGTACACGACACTTTGTAATCAAGGTAGATCAATGTTTAATGTGCACAACGTACAGAATCTAGCACAAACTGCACTAAAAATCAGAGCGACATGTCAGCGCCTGGTGTGAATGAGTGCTGACAGGCGAATAATTGTTTCTGTTCACGAGAGGCAGTGGGGAGGCGCTGGCTTTCCGCGGTTGAAGTAGCTGAGCCACTCGGATTTGAACTTTCATTACAAGTTGAAAGATTAAGAGAATGCTTAAATCATAATTAAAACAAATTACATTATTTTACAAGAATTTAAAAATTAGAATTATGATATGTTTTGTGAAGCTGAGATACTGAAAAAGTTAAATGGTGCAGTTATTCTGTGAAGTGTTGCGTTGCAACGTTTGATCGAGTCGTGGGCGCCGGTAGGTGCGCGGAGTTCCAAGAATCGAGCCCACAGCTGCGCATCTGGGTATCATATATGCGGACATTCGGCCGGCGGACAGAGCTAGCCCGATAATGTGAAATGCAGAGGGTGAAACACATATTACATCTAAGATACAATTAAGTGAATCTTGCCAGGCTTGTAGCTATCTTGTTCCAAGGTGTGCGTACAATTACGTAACATTTAAAATAATAATTAAGGAAACTTGTGTCTTGTTCCAACAACTAGTGTACCTGTGCGGGTGCTCTCGCATGTTAAATCGCACCCTATCCATATCCTTCCGTTTCCATATTACAAAGGAAAGTTGTTAATGAAACGCGATCATGTGTTTAAAGAATGTATAAATGTAACTTCTAATGACCTTACAGAATATCAAACAAAAATAAAAAAACTATTCAACTGATGTTTTGAAACAAAATTTTTCAGTTTGTTCTTATTAAAGAGTCTAAAAACAATTTTGTAGTAGTCGCCGAGCCCTTTGAAAGACGTTCACCGGGGCGCGCAACGAGGCGGGGCGCCCAGGAAATCGGGCGCGCTCGAGAAGGTCTCGGAGGTCGGGCTCAAAACAGCGGAGCTGTTACAGGCGTTCAGTCCATGTGACGGTTTTTTTGGACAGTCACTGATGCATACACATGGACCATGCCTGGGGGGCGGTGGCCATGATTTAACATGGCAGAAATGATTCTATTTTCTTTCACGACGTTGGCTAAGTGTAGTGGCGGCGTGGCGCATACATAATGTATTGTCATTCGACAAAGGAAGAAGTTCAATGAAAATATTTTTATTATAGTGATAAAACATCATTGAAGAATTGGAAACTATAATCAAGGTTACTATTTTTAAAAGTGAATAAATTTATGCACACCGTGTTCAGTTAGAATTTGGAGAGTTACTGCAGAAGAGAGGTGCAGCTAACTGGCTTCTTCTGTATGCTTTGCGGGCGAGCGGGCCTTTTGCCCCGAGTTTCAAGGCACAGTTTTTTGCGTGTTTTATGACTGTTTTTGTGTATTTTGACCTGGCACACCCGGAGAGGGGCGCCTTCTCCGAGCCCTTCCTCCACAGCCTGTTGAACCTTTGTGAGATCGTTCGACCAGTGGGGGGGGGGGGAAAAACCAAAAGAGAAGAACTTGAACGATTTCACTCCACATCTTTAGGAGAATTTCCATTATTTATTTATATTTTAATATTAATTATAATTCTTGAAATATTAGAATGTAACATTACATATACTATTAAGTTGGGTAAATATTTTAATGTAGTAATAGCTTTTTAAGGCACTTTAGCAATGAGTCCATCGCAGAAGGGGAGAAGTGACACAGCATCAGTGCAAGAAGAACATCTTTTTATTGAAGATTTGTGGAAGAGCTGATGCGAAGGCAATATAGAAACTTCTAAATTATTTTTCAAACTGCTATGAATTGAGCTGAAAACCTCACATTGTTCAAAAGTAAGTAAAATCATAATAAAGTGTCATATGAAAGTCAATAAAATGTCAATAAAGTTCAGGTGAAATTGTTTTGGATTATGTTGAATTTAATTTTACAGATATTGGAAGCAAGACGCCTGATAACTGCCTGAATCTGGAAGGAGTGTCCAGGATAGATGGGAACAAAAACATGTGTAGTGGATGATTTTGACAGGGCTTGATTTAGGCAGCATTATTTATCATGTAGCAAGAATGATAAGTAATTTTTTACATTTGCGTGGAAGAAATGATAATAGTTATTGAAATATCTTGCTTTTTTGATGGAATATATGAAACTTGAACACTGGGAAGGTTATTAATTATTGGTTTTGGATGAAACTTGTCTTATTCAAAAGGCAAGCAAAAAATCTATAAATTTTTGTAGTGTTGAATTAAAATGAAATTCTAGATATAAGGGAATGGAGAGGCATATTTGCATGTAATGAACTGGCATCTTTGAGAAATAGCAATGTGTGTAATGGACTTATGGTGTATGATGAATATCGATTGACCAATTGAAGGCACCTACATAGTGGTTCAATATGATTTTTATTTCAGTAGAGCTTTACTAATTGTTTTTACAATCTTCCTCTGGTTATGCCTTCGGTCATGGAAAGATAAAATGAAAGTTTGCCTCAGCAAAAATTTAGATGAAAGGTAA